TATATATATATATATAATAAACACAATTAAAAATTGATCATCATATTGATGCACTTTAAGTGTTTTTCTTTATTTATTAGCTAATTTATATATTTCCGCCTTTATTTTTAATTATGTCAGTTTATGTCCTCCGTACTGCAGAAGCCTGATAATCACCCATTCATTCAAATCAGGTGTGTTTGAGCAGAGAAAAAAAGTAAAGCATGCAGGCCTGCGGCCCTCCAGGACCAGGATTGCCCACCTCTGATCCATATAAAATCATCAAGTTAAGCAAAACAGTCACACTGTATTTAACAATTTTTACAGTTCTTCTTTCATAAAGTATGTGTATATAATTAAAAATCAGTATATAACCTAAACCCCAATAAATTTCTTCAGTAGTGTTCAGGAGTGATGGTAGGATGAAGCAGGATATGGATCAGTGGTTTGAGCTACTATATCCAGGTTTTTATAAAAACAACCAGTTCTGCTAACCTGCTAACAGCTAATAGCAATGCTAACTTTTAATTTAGTGGAATTTCCTAATTTTGGAAACAATTACATGAGCAATTAGCTTCAATTACATAATTTTCACTCACTTTAAGTCTGTTAACAACATTTGCGTTCCTGTCTGTGGTGGGCGTGGCTTGAAGAGCGTTAGGCAGGCTATTGGCTGACTTTTCTGTGGATACATTCTTTAAATGATTAAATCAAGTGCAATTCTGACCCTAGTTGGGAGCGTTTTGGTTTTAAAGAAAAATTAAATATTAAATAAAAGAAATCTAAATTTACATGATAAAGTTAGCAGTTATCAGTTAGCGTTAGCTTTTGCGAAACTTTTAGCTAGCAAGTTAACAGTTAGCAAATCAATCATTGAAGTTTATTTGTACAGCACATTTCAGCAACGAGGCAGTCCAAAGTGCTTTACATCATAAAAACACAAAAAAACAAAGTCGTAGAACACAAATATAACATTTTGTACAAAATATTATTATTAGTTCCACAAGAACTGACAGCTCTGTTTTTAAAACTCTAGGAACCACAAGTAAACCTGCAGTCTGAGAGCGAAGTGTTCTGTTAGAAAAAATACGGAACAACAAGATYCGTAATGTAAGATTAGTTGTTGAGAGCTTTGGAGTAAGATTTTAAATTGTAATCGGATTTGACAGGGAGCCGCTGGAGAGAAGCTAAAACATTACAGATTCATCCAGAGAAACTAGAACAAAGTGTGTCCATGTGACCGGCTGCTGGTAACAAAGAGCCCAGGGATCCAGAACCCATGCAGCCCACGTGGTCTTCCTCTCCAGTCTGTTCTCGCTCTCTGACAACATCAGGACCCCCGATGCTTTAAAGCAACACAAAGGCATCCTTCAGCTTCAGCTGTTGGACCTGCAGACATGACAGGACTCGTGGTTTCTGAGAGTTCACCAAACAAAACACTGTTTTAACGTCTCTCTTTTCTGAAAACAACTTCTTCTGCACCTAAAGGCTACATCTTAGACCACAGGTCTTCCTGAAACTGTTATTAAACGAGTTCTCATTTGGAGGCTTGAGGTTTTTAGTTGAATCATGGACTCCATCATGGATGCTTAGAAMAGGCAGCAGGAAGCTTCACTGATTGGTCAGTGTGAGCGTGATGTCACAGGAGTGCTCCGCCTGTGTTTCCAGGTGACCAGCCGTTCCCGTGCCTGGCGGCGTACGGCGCGTCCAAAGCAGCTCTCAACCTCTTCACTGACACTCTGAGGCACGAGCTGGAGCCCTGGGGGGTCCACGTGTCCACCGTCCTGCCGTCCTCCTACAAGACAGGTAACCCCCCAGCTGACCCTCACCTGTTCAGTCACAGCACAGGACAGGCAGCACACCTGCACGCTTCACAGGCCCAGCAAAGTTATAATAATAATAAATAAAAAAAGAAAGTGAAGAAGCGAGGGACAAGAGCTCCCCCTGCTGGTCATGGTGCATCTCTACAACAGGCTGCATGTTGAATTTCAGCTTAATGTCTCTGAAAATAATATTCAGAATGACATGGAGCTCGCGTTTGTCTACCATGTTACCAAATTCAGCTCTGTATTTCTAAAAATTAACTGAGGAATAGTTATTTGAAATCAGCTTTGCTGGCCATCTTGGATTTCGTRTTTGCATTTAGCTTAAAGTGGGACTAGCAATCACTCTTGGCTACTACTACAAAAATTTTCAGCTGTGTATTTAGTAGATTAATTATATCTCTGTGTAAAATTAGCATTAGCATTTAGCATAAAGTGGGACTAGCAATCAGTCTTGGCTTATAGGCTACTATATAAATTTTCAGCTGTGTATTTAGTAAATTAATTATAGCCCTGTGTAAAATTAGCATTAGCATTTAGCTTATATTGGGACTAGCAATCACTCTCGGCTACACTATAACAATTTTCAGCTCAATTAGTCTTAAATAGCTGAATTTTAGCCACTTAAGCTTAGCTGTAGTGGTTATTTATACAAATCCAGGGAAGTTTTATTTATTTACATGTCCCCGCTCTAGATAACACCTTGGCCACCCCCTGTAAAAAGCCTAGCTCCGCCCCTGCCATGAATCTGACGGTCACATGATCATTTTTTATGTTTCTAATCCGTCACAGTTTTAAAGAACTGTTTCAGATGGCATCAATAAGAGTTTAGATGTGTGCAAAACTCAGAAAAACATTAAATAAATGCTGTAAAGAGGCTCAAACCAGTAGGAATTTCAGATWATTCATGCTGGTTTCAGGATGTTGACCTGTTGTCAGTAACGCTGACCCCTGCTGTCCCCAGGTCACTCCAGTAACCACACCTACTGGGAGCAGCAGCACAAGCAGCTGCTGCAGAGCCTGTCGCCGGCGCTGCTCGACGAGTACGGCGAGGACTACGTGACCGAGACCAAGGACCTGTTCCAGAGCTTCGCCAAGCAGGCCAACCCGGACCTCAGCCCCGTCACCGGCACCATCGTGCACGCGCTGCTGGCGCCGCAGCCGCAGGCGCGCTACTACGCCGGCCCCGGCGTCGGCCTCATGTACTTCATCCACAGCTACTGCCCGTTCAGCCTCAGCAACCGCTTCCTCCAGAAACTCTTCCTGAAGAAGAAGCTGGTGCCGCGCGCGCTGAGGAAGCAGTCGGGCCTGGAGGTGGGCCTCGACCTGGACCACCTCTACAACAACAACAACAACAACAACGAGGAGAAGCTGCAGCAGCTGTGAGGCTGCAGACTGTCCACCTGCAGATAGAGGACCACTTCTGTAACTCACTTATACAGTCGTATCCCGTCCTGTTCGTTCTGTGACTGTCCAAGTGATCATAGTGATGCACCCAGGTGTCTGACTCCGCCCACACAGGATGACGACTGCCCTGGACTTCAGGAGGCGGGGTTTGGATAGAAGTAGGGAAGCAGCCGCAGGTCGCTGCACAAACACACTGACTTCATGTGCCTTCATCACGCAGAGAGCTGAGAGTCAGCGCCGTCCCAGAAACGCTCCTGGTGGACCACCTCTCGTCAGGACTGCCTCTCATCAGGACCGCCTCTCATCAGGACCGCCTCTCATCAGGNGCCTCTCATCAGGACCGCCTCTCATCAGGACCGCCTCTCATCAGGTCCGCCTCTCGTCAGGACCGCCTCTCGTCAGGACCGCCTCTCGTCAGGACCGCCTCTCATCAGGACCGCCTCTCATCAGGACCGCCTCTCATCAGGACCGCCTCTCATCAGGACCGCCTCTCATCAGGACTCGGCTCCAACTTTACACCAACTTAGCTCACTAAGTTCACTCGGTTTCTGCAAACAGGAAATGATGTCAGCGAACACCTGAGGCTCATGTTTTTATGACTCACCTGCTTCACTCCAGGAGGTTCAAAGAATCTCTCGCTTCACAGGAAATCTAAAACATGAACGTCTGAGAAGTCCGAACTAAATACGAACAGACTCCACCCGCCAGGGCTGTCAGTAATAATGACACAAACGCACCCTGCCACACTCCTCACACACCTGTGATCAGCAGGAACTTCCACCTCACAACTTCTCAGAATCATTCTAGGAAAAAAATGATTTATTGATTTTTAAAAGAAAAAAAATCACATTTTTTTTTATCAGAGACAGAATTAATCAAAAAGTTTCTTCTTTGATTCAACCTTCAAATTAAATCCAAAACAAACATTAAAGTTACCAAAATGTTTAACCGCTGCTAAACAATGTTTATTTTATTATTATTTTATTTCATAAAATGTTTAATGATCACATGTTGCTAATGTAGCAGAAAACCATCAGAGGCACATGTCTGATTGACTGAAATAAAATCATTTTAATCTGTTTAAATCAAAACATTTGTTTAAATACTGAGAATCAAAACGAGCCGTCGGTGTGCAGAAACTTTAGAAAAGTTGTTTTCTTTTTATCTCAACATGTTGAAATCAAAATGCAAAAAACTAACATTTTATATTTTTATGCTTCTTTGGATTTAATAGAATCTAAATGTAAAAAAATATATTCTATCATATTTACAGAGCAGGCCTTGTACGGTGCACTGGAGTGTTGTGTGTGTGTG